GGTATGTGTTGCCGAGGCTCATCCGAGTAAATCTTCCAGTTTTTTATCCAAAAATTCCATCTCTGTTACTTGTAGGCTTCTGATACTCATGCTCCTCGATACTCTGATCTTCAGTCTGTAGTTGTCATGAGACTCAAAATTAAATATTATTTCGACATATAACTTCTTTCTGAACAATCTTCTCTTGAGTGTCTCATTCTAGCGAATGACTTCAACATCCAAAAAGGTAACCTCTCCTTCCTCTCTACTCCCATTGTGAATTTGATCCTTTCATCAATCTGGCTTATAAATTTTAATAAATCTTTAAATTTCTCGGTATCAAGAGGAATCGAGAATAACTTTTATCATGTGACAGATATAATCGGAACTAGATCTCATTCTTACAATACATTTAGGCTGAAACTTAATCAAGAAGTCCGATCGGTTCCTCGTTTTATGCTACTCATACTAGTAGCATCTAAACAGAATTTAGTATATATGGAGAGAGAAAGAAGGAGAATGGTTTATCATTTTTTGTAAAGTTTTGTGTGTGCAATTCAGAGTGTTACACCATTAGTAATAACTCTGAACAGTCGCACCAGAAGATACTATTAGTCCATGGTCATCATTATTTAATCACTAAAAGAAAAGCATTACTGGAATCACGTAATCCCTAGCATACATCTAATTAGGTTGATGATGGAAAGACTTTAATTTTGTATAAAAGTGCATGAAGAAGAGATTCAAAAGTCGATCTCACCGGAAGAGCACGGCTGATTCTCGTTGTACTACAACCATTTAACTTTTCATCTCAAAGCACAACTTAATAGTACAATCTAACGTCTCTCATATTCCTCTAGTGAGATTATCCCATGACTTCCTGTTTGAAACTTACACTAAAGTAAATTCACCATTCTTTATTTTAAGCCATACCACTAGCCCTTAAACTTATTCTTTCTTCTCTACTCAATTTTGACTTCGAATTCTAATAACGACTAGCGAACGATAATACAATTGAGTAATGAGTAATAAGCCCACCATAATATTTTTATTTCTCCAATTACACATTCCAATCAGGTTCCTGTCAATGGTGACCAGGTTTCCATTATTACTTCTGCTCTGGCAGAGAGTTCCGGTCGCATTCGCAGACTCCTTCATGGCCTTCTGGCACGTTGCCGGCTTGCTTCACCATCCTGTCTTGTCAGTCTACTTGATGGCCTACTTACCAATCTTCGGCGATATCCGCGCGACAGATTTAGTCTTTGGCAGTATGTCTAATTTTGTTTAAATAAGACATATCTTTAATTTATTTTCATACTTAATCATCCATTTACACTATTTATTGAAGTTATAAAGACCAAGATGTTGTGGCCTCTGGTATGGTCGCAGTCTCCTTTCAATTTATAGAAGTGGGTTGACCTCGTCGCAAATTGGCCTTGTTGTCAGGGCGACTTAGTAGAACGCACCTAGTCCGAAGTCGTCCGGCATAGTAGTTGTTATGATTCCCAGCATCAGACAGTGAACTTGATATATTCTCAAACATTTCGACGGCATCGTAGTCCGCATCATCAGTGAGTTTGACATTCTCCGCACCAAGCTACGAACTCGTCAAAGAGACAGGTTAAGTCACGTTCTGTCGAACTCGCTGATGATGCCAACTACGATGCTGGCGAAACGTTTGAGAATGTACAAAGTCCATTGTCTGATGCTGGGAATCATGATAACTACTATGGCAGACGACTTCGGACTAGGTAAGTTCTACTAAGTCGACCTGACAACAAGACCAAGTTGCGTCAACCAGGTCAACCCACTTCTATACATCGAAAGGGGACTGCGACCATACCAGAGGTTACATCTTGATCTTCATATCTATAAAACTTTCTCTATTACACTTTTTATTATATTTTTATGATACGCTCTATAAATATTATCTTTGAGGGGATGTAATCGTTTCCAACCATTTTGAGCTCTATTTATGTACCTGAATTGCTTTTCTGATTGTGCTATTTTAGTCTTTAAACTACCTAAATGATCTTTCTTTTTTTACCTCATGATATTGTCCATTCGGCCTTTATCTCACTGGTTTACTAATTTTCTTCGGACTTGCCATCGTATTCCTCATACCCTTGGAACTATTTCCATTTTTTGTCTCAGACGTTTTATAACATTTATTTGGTAACCTGGTCGAGTAAGGCATCCACACTGATATTTTAAACATTCTTTATGCAAGAAACATAGTTTCACAATAATCACTTTCCTTGAATGTTTTTGGGCTTTTGGCTTGGCTTCTCTCTTATGTCCTAGTTATTGTTTATAATTGCATTAAAACGACTAGTGTAGAGCTCTTCGTGTCTATATTTCTGGTCCTATCATGACTCTTCTATTTATATTTCACTTTAGTAATCTATCCTTCCTCTATGGACCCGTTAACCCTTTTTATCTTTATTTAATTTGGCATGTCCGATTGGCTTGTAAGCTTCTTAGTCATGCATTGACTTAATAGTTCACCCACTTGATAAAACCCGTAAATCATGAGCCAGCCGAATGTTTGTCTCTGGCCTTCGCTACATATTTAAAGTGGGTTTTAGTCCATATTGCTCCGTTGATCTATCCATTATGACTATCCTGTGACTAATGTTTGGTTTACTTTTATTTGGTTTGAAGAAGTGAATGGAAGGCATTCGTAAGTTGTCTTCACTGAAGGTCGAGAGAGGATTGCCTTGGAGATAACTAGATTTAGGGCGGTACTTCTTCGGCTCACCGTCCTAAAGCTCCAACGATTTCTTGCTGAGCTTTCCTCTGTCATACGATGGTTATCGTCAAAGCATCACCCCATGCTTTTCGATAATTCACCGAGCATAAAGGCGACAATGCTGGTCAGCTGCGATCCTACCTAATTATTATAGCTTAAATTAGTATAGAAGTTGTTTGACCTTGTTTTCGCAACTTGGTCATATTGGCAGGAAGACTTATAGGAAACGCACCTTGTCCTGAGTTCATTTTATACATAATTATTTCCAAAGTCGGACCG